AACAGCTGCGAGTGGAGTTGGCGGCCGTCGAAGGCCAGCGCCGGCGCCGCCTCCCGCAGGGCCTTCGCCAGCCACTGCACGTCCGCGTCGTTGGACCGCTCCAGCGCAATGTCCTCCAGCACCTGGTCGTACATGAGAAAGGAGTGAGGTCACGTGGCCGAGTGACAATCCAGAAAGTACATCCGTCGTTCGCCATTACGGCTCTGCAAGCAGTGCAAGCTCTCAGAGCGCCTGGTAGGAAGGCAACATCTTCCCCACAATGCATGTGGGTACTGCGGGCTGGCCTACCCTGAGTCTCGCAGGCGCCGAATGAATAAGAGAAAAACGGACGCACTCTCTCTCTCTCTGGACGATCCCTAACTGCAGACTGGGGAGCGGCTGCGTCTACCTACCTGGAACACGTCCGCCCCGCACACCTTGTCGTACACCCAGGCCAGGTCCAGCAGGTAGTCTTGCTTGATGGAGCCGTTGACGGCGTGGGAGACGAAGGGTAACTCCTGCAGCCGACGGGCGTTGTAGCTGCGGGGAAGAAAGGATGCGTGAGGAGCGAGCTAACATTTTGCACAGTGCGTGTAAGTAAAAAATAAAATATGACAGGTGACAACAAAGTAGGTCAAAGATCACACCACCATAGAGATTGCAACATAAACTAGAAATAAAATGCCTACAGCACGTTTACTACATCACACCGATATGGTCTGCAAAAGAAGCAGTGCAATCGTTGGTCCACGACACCACGGCAAAAATGATAAAAACCCCTGTTATTCACACAAAGTCGAAGTTAAGTCAATAGATCGCTAAACAGCTCAACGTAGCATGCTCAAATTCCACATTCAGCGCACAGAAATAACACAAAATTGTCACAACAGTCCCTCGTACCAACCACTACAGAGCCAACAATTATTTTAAAAAATGCACCAAGAAATTCAGGGGGGCAGCAGTTCGAACAGCAGCAGCGTACACTCACACAAATAGTCTTTCATGCAAGGCCCGCTGGTCACCAGAACCCGATCCGTAGGGAGTCTCCACCGACCAAACGCACGAAGAGGGCCGAGCCCAAGCCAAGCGGAATGTTCATGCGAAGGCTGGAGTTGATGGCATGCATGGCGTGCGCATGGCGCGCGCGCGCCCTTACCACTTGTCCGCCAGGTTGGGCATGGGCTGCAGCCTGCCCAGGAGCGCTGGCGACCGATCCGACCACCAAGACCCCTAACAACACCAGCACCACCACACACCACGAGCACCGACGAGCGAAGACATTCAAAACACACAGGAATCGCCGGTAAGAAAAATGTACACCAAGTAAAGAGGGCGAGAATGTGAGAGTGATTAGCCCCCTTCGGAGCCGGTGTGGGTCCGGGGCTGCGGGCGTACCTTGAAGTAGAAAAGCAGGGCCTTGGCTGCCTTGGCCTTGGCGTTCTTGTCGAGGTAACGGGCCTCGACGGCCGCGCGGATCGTAGCGTCGCGCCACTGCAGCACCAGCTCGTCGCCGCACATCACCCACTGCAGGAAGGGGGCCAGGAGCTTGTTGAGCCGCGCCCAGAACAGGCAGGCGGGCGCCCAGGCCACTGCAACAGAGGTTCACGTCACACACGACTGCTCTGCTCGAACCCCCTGGCGGCGGCGACATGACGGGGGGCTCACCGTGCGTGGAGGACGAGTGGAAGATGGGGTCGTGGGCGAGGAGGTCCAGCATCTCCGAGTCGCTGACGCCATACTTGGCGACGCATAGGAGCGCCACCCCGTACGCGACCTGCTCCTTGCCCAGGATGGCCTCGAGCTGGTCGAGCAGGTGGTGGAGTTGGTCGTCCACGTTGCCGCGCGGCGTCACCTCCTGCTCCCACTCCCAGGACGTCTGCCAGGCCAGCAGCTTGGCGTACAGCGGCAGCGTGCAGTCGCGCACCGACGCCAGCACCGAGTCCTGGACGCGCTTCGGCACGCTGTGGTTGTACTGCATCACCCACGCGTTGAGGATGCTGGCCGCCTCGGCCTGGTCCAGCTTCGGCATCTGCGGGCAGGAGACGGAGAGCGTCAGCGGTGGTCGGCGACTGCTGAAGGCTGGAGCTGTACCCACATACCGTCCTCCCGACTTACCTGGATGACGGTCGACTTCTCCTTGAGTTCGCCCAGGAGCGGGCTGCCCTCCCAGAGCGTGACGACGAGCTTCACGTTGACGGGCAGCTCGGCGGGCACCCAGTCAGTCACGAGCGCGCCGTACGACTTGAGCTGGTCCAAGCCGTCCACCATCACGACCAAGGTGCGCTTAGCAGCCGCGCCCGCCAGCAGGTCTGGCAGCTGCTGCTTCCAGCTGTCCACGGACTGGAGCACAAACAGAGTGTCGGTCGGGCGGTCTCGCAAAGGGACACGCACGCGGCAGGCTGATACTCACATGGCTCGCCCAGCAGTGGCCGCCGTCGCACAGCAGCTGGCACTGGTGGCCGATGCTGGCGAGCACGCGCTCCAGGGTCATGGAGTCGGCGGAGACCCCGCAGAAGCGAAGCGCGAGCAGGGGCGGCCCGGAGCCGGAGCCCGCCGCGGCCGCCGAGCCCGCCCAGGACGCGCAGCACTGCGCCGCCCGCGCCACCAGGGTGGACTTGCCGCAGCCCCGGGGCCCCGTCACGACCAGCGGGGCGCGGGATCCGCCCTCGACGTAGCTGCCGCGAGAGAGATGACGGGCACGTGAGTGTTTGGGCGTCCACCACCCTCCCCCCTCTCCGCGCCATGCCGCGCTCCACCTCACCTACCTTTTGATTTCAGACAGGATGTAGTCGCGGTTCACGCTGCACTGGGACGCCTGCTGGCAGACGCTCGCCTGATGCGTCAGCTCTTGCATCAGTCTATTGTCGAGCCCGAAGCCGGGCTTGCCGACCGTCTGCAAGTAAGTCACGAGTTTAGTTAATTTTGTCCCTCACGTGTATACACTGCCACCTGTAACGCGGGGCGCTCCGTACCTTGGCCATGTCCTCGTCGATAATGGCATCCACGATGCCGCGCAGGGAGTTGGTGAGCTGCGCCGTCACCTCGGCGACGTACTGCGCGTGCTCGGGCAGCTCTGGCTGCAGCCCGCCGTCCGAGTACTTGACGGACAGGCGCAAGATGTGCTTCTCCACCAGCTGGCTCTTGAGGATCTGGTGGATGGAGTCGAGGCGTCGCCGCAGCTCCGTCTCCTGAGCGGAGGGCGCGGCGGCGGGCGCGGCGGGCGGCTGGTGCGTGTACACGCGGTGCAGCCACAGCGTGCGCCTGGCCATCTCCTGGAACACGGGGAAAGAGAAGGTCGGTCAGCGCCGGTCAGCTCTGGCGCACTACACTTCGATAGACGAGATAAAACTGCACTCCAATGCGATACATCAAGTTAAATTCAATTAACTTCCACTGAATTGTAGGTATTCAGATGAAAAGCTTTTAAAGAAAATTCCGTGACGTCGTTTGTTTGACGTTTCCAAAGTTGAACGGGCATTTTGTTTCAAAAATGTTTGTCAACGCCTGCTGCGTAGGCAACGGGCGCGCACGCAGCGCTTGGGGGCCGGCGTGGTGCCTGCCCGGCAGGAGTCTCACCTGGGACATGCAGACGGTGTTGTGCACCTCCTGCTCCAGGGCGGTGCTGAGGTACGTGTCTCTGAGCTCGGTGGGCAGGACGGACTGCAGCACGGCCAGCGTGCGCTCGATCTCTGCCTGCCACTCGGACAGCGCGCCCTCGCGGTCCTCCCTGAGCCCCGGAATGTGACAGGTGGTGGGCCTGAGCCGGTAGCACGGCGGCTGCGCGTGCGAGTCCAGCGAGTACCACTTGTTCAGGAGAGTCTTATCGTCCGCCTTGCCGAGCGCCATCTCGAAGTCCTGCGTCTCGATGGTGTTCGGCAGCAGCGGCGTGCCGAGGGACATGTTGAGGAACAGCACCGGCACGACGTACGCCGTCTCCTGCTGGCGCGCGAGCTCCCCGAGGCACAGCTCGGGGAACTGGTGGTCCTGCTGCTTCTCGAGCGGCGTCCGCCAGTGCAGGTCCACGATGTGCAGCTCGTAGCCCCGAGCCCGGCAGGCTGCCCGCAGCTCCGGGTACACGTGGCGGTGGAGGGCGCCCTTCTCCACGCAGCAGTCTGCAAGAGTGGGTGCCGTTAGTGCGCTGTACAACCTCACCAGAGCGGTAACCGCCCGTGAGCTTCACGCACCTTGCGAGTCCGCCGCGCACACGTAGATGGCGATCTTGTTGGATCTGTCCGTGGATCGGGTGTTGGAATGCCGACCCAGGACAAGTCGCCGCATGTGATCGGGCAGCGCCTGCAGTGCCGGCGGTAGTACGTCGACGCCATCGTCAGTCTCCGCACCCGCGGACGCCGCAGCCCCCACGGAGTCTGCAACAACGGGGTGGTGACGGCGCGG